GAAGTTGGTACTAATTGAATTAGTAGTAAAACTAAATGAAGAAATAGTAGTAGAACTACACAAGGAAACAGTAGTAGAAGTTGGTACTAATTGAATTAGTAGTAAAACTAAATGAAGAAATAGTAGTAGAAGTTAGTACCTGTTTAAGGCTTAGTAGAACTAAATGAAGAAGTATGAATACAATTGGAACTAAGAGAAAAAATGGAAATTGGAAACCCCAATATCAGTAGATATTATCTTCTTATTAGCATCATTATCATTATAATCAGTTTGATCATTATTATATTGTCCTTAATAATAATCAGCAGCTTGTTTATCATCATAATTGCATAACTAATCCAACTCAAACCCTCGCTTTGATTAAGAATACATAAATGCATATACATTATTCTATTATATTGCCCTCCTACTGTCTACATAAATATTATGCGCTGATTATCCCCATTTTCGTGAAAGGAGGAATTCCTAGGAAAACTAGAGCAGAATTTTATGGAGCTTTAACTCTTTCCAAAGAAGAAGAGCTCTAAAGGAAATCAACTATGCAGCAAACAGTGCCATTGAGAGACTCCAATCAAAATGTTAAATTATTAAAAAAACAAACATATCAAATCGGGAGAAACGATGCAAAGGTCAACGAGGTCTGTCATGCTCATATCAGCTTTGTTGTTTCATGTAGTTTAAAATAACAAACACACACACAAAAGATAAAAAAAAAGCCAACAATGATGAGGGTCAAGTTGACTTCATTTAATATCAGTACAAATGTCAAATCCATCATAAAATTATTTCCAGCCAATTTTAAAGACTTATGCAAATAACTAAGCCCCGCAAATGCTATAATTCAATTTGCTTTTTACGATTTACCTGTTCAAAGCACATTATTTATTTATGCTCGACTTCGAGGCAGTAACAAATTGCGCTCCAAGGCGCAATAATAAGGACAGCTTCGAGGATTATTGCATTAAAAATTTAGAGTATAGGCCGGTTAAATCAGAAACGTAAAATATGAGCAAATCAAAAGGCGAAGGCTTAGGCATTTGTGGCTAAGTGCGCAATTTTAAATGAAATCCAATGAAATTAAATAAAACGTCAGAAACTGACAATCCAAGCGGGCAAAAACTGTTGAGAGCCAAGTCAAGTTGCCAAGGCTAAAGGGATCAGCACAGTCAAAAGGTTTTTTGTGTGTGTTACACACAAATATTGACAGCCTCATCCGCTTGCGAGAGCAGCGCCAGCACCTGAGCAGGTGGAACAACAGTTGGGAATGCGGCTACATCAAATGTAATTAGCGTTTCCATTGTCGCACGACCAACAGAACGTTTTAAAAAATCGTGCTTCAACTTGTTTTATTTACACCCACACAGCCCCAACACACATTCATATTTTATATTTGTGTGTGCTCGTCCTAGCTTAAGGACTTCAGTCACGCTGCTGCAATAAAGCTTTATTCCACAGACTCGGTTTTTTTTTTATTTATTTATGTATTTTCTTCTTCTTTTTTTTTTTTGTGCACGTCAATAGCAAGTGTTTAAACAGTAACCAACTTTGCTGTGAGTAAATATCGCACTGCAGAATTAAGCATAGAGAGACAGCTGCTTGTTAGCACTTGGCAATTATAAAACAAATATTGATTTAAAATTTGTGAACTGATTTAGCCAAGCCAGAGCCAGAGCCACGTCGCAACGTGATTAATTGAAAGCTGATTAGACAGGTGCAACAAAATGCCAGCTTAATGAGTTTCAAAGGCAAATCAAGTTTCTTAGAGTCGCAGCATTTAATGAGACTTAATTTAGGCATTTGAATTCCAAGAAATGACGAGCCTAGAAATATATTTTTAGCCAATTCTCATCTGAGCAGCCCTTAGATACCATCAGGTTTTATTTAATATAATTTGCTTAAGCGCCAGTCAAGCGTTATGCAGGGAAAAAACTTACTAACTGATTTAACGCCTACGCTCATGGACTCAAAGACATTGGTATTGAAACAGACAGATTACAAAATACAGCTGCAGTTCCACTGTCTAGGCACGAGGGCGATACGAACATCCCACTAATTGCATCTGTCCCTACCGTTGCCCAACTAAACTTCAGACCTTTTCTGCACATCCTGCTCGGCATTTCAAGGGAACGCGTGCTCGCCAATTTAATAATTGTTTGCCGAACGGCACAATTTCAATCATGCGGCTCTAGTTAATCACGACTTTGATTGGCCAACAGCGTACGGTTATAGTTTCAAACACTAACTGACATATACACACGCATACACAGAAACACGCGCACACATACACACACGTAGGCACACGCTATTGTTAAATGTATATAGCTCATACGCCATGTGTGTTACGTGCGCTGCATACAATACGCGAACTCTGGCATGGAAAACAGAGCTTGCTCATTATGATTTGTATACCCTAAAACAGACAGGCTGTGGTATATTTGTGAAAGATTTTGCGACAGACAAAAGTGAATAGAGGAAATTAATTTGTTTGCACATTATCAATACTTTTCATCTCATGAATAATATCAAAGATTCTAGATTGATATTGATTGCCTTTAGTCAACCCATTTATACAAAATTCCAGTCTCAATTTATTATATTTAGTAAGCCGGGGTATTCTGTTTTAGATGCTTTCAATCAATCCCCCAGCTTTGCACGACTTTTCAGGTATCTGCTAGTCGAGCACATTTGGCCTCGAGCTTTCCTACTTGTTGTCTGTTTGGCCAGCGCCTTGGGAGCACTCAATGATACACAGATCCTGGTGGCAATATGGTTGGCAGCCAAGTCAATCAGTGCAGCTACCCCTCGAGACCCGGCCGCTTGACTTAACCATTCGAGCTGATAATAATAATAAAGAAAAGCAGAAGGAAAACGTGCAGATACGCAGATCCTGTATATACACAGATACACATATACACTATGTATATGTAGTTGTAGCTCTGTACTTATAAATTAAGCCTAGGCGACTTGCGGTCGTGGCAGCTCTGACGCACATCTCACATTTCACTTGGGGCATTCATTGAAATGCTTCCTCTTTGAATTTTATGTAATGGCCAACAATTTGGATTCCTTTGTTATTTAACTATATAATTTATATATAATTCAGAGAGAGACAAAGCGGCACAAATAGTCAGGCGGACACTCAAAGGTCAGCGTCATCATTAATCTACAAATTTATATATTATATATGCGTACAAAGATGAAGGCAGAAGAGCGCTTGTTGAAAGCCTTTGAAAAGGAAAGGGCGAACTTGATTTATGCACGCCGATTTACGATATCAGCATCAGGGGGGGCTTCTCTCTTTTGAACACTTTAAAATCCCAGACAATTTATAATTGGCTTTATAATAAATTAATTAAAATCAAGCAAAGGCAACGGCAGGCAAGCGCCGACAGGCGCAGGACCTCGCCTTTTTCCTTTTTCTTTTATTCAACATACAAAATTATTTGCTGGTGACAATTTTCATTTTATGCACTGCTTTTGTTTTGAACAGCGTGAAATTCTTTGCATAGGACGCTTGTTTTTTACCAGACTTGAAAATATGGAAAAAGTGTATTAAAATATATATATATTTTAAATAAATATGCATATACCTACAAATGCACATATATATACATATATTATTTATAATCAAACAATAACACGCCCGAACCAACAATTTTTATCACTTGCTTACCAGATGCCAGAATGAGTGTGTGTGTGGGTATTGATATGTTTGTCTACGTATGTGTGTGTGTGTGTGGGCTAGCGTGTGCATGATTGATTGGCAGAGATTGTCTAGAAATTCAATACGCCCAAACAAAAAACAAAAAAACACAACAAAAAATTACATTGTCAACAACACGCAGCAACAAAAAAAAGCATAAAGAATTTTTGTTGACAGCATCTCAAATTTTTTCACATTAGTTAAACAATTTTTTAATTTATTAAAAATTGATGAGCGCGTTAATGCGTCAAAGCACAACAGATGAGATACTTGAAGAAAGTTGGCGAAAACAAAAGCATTTATAAAACTTGTTTGCTATAAAAGTCGAGACGATAAAGTTTCAAGAGCAAATAGTTAAAACTGATGGATCCGTTAATATAGAATGAGCTTTTAACCTACGGTTATGATAGATGATTTATGTATGTATTGTTATAGATCAATTTGGACATAAATAGTAAGAGTTGTTGTGAATATTGATAAATATTTTGATGTTAAGGATGTTTCTTAATGAGGTTTTCATTGCTATGAATTCAGTTTATTAGACACACAATGCTGGCCAAATAGCGCACAGTTGTATACTATACTCTATATAAAAAGACCTCAAGCTCTACTGTAGAATAAATGCGAACTTTTTCAGCGCTACGTCTGCTCTGCGCTGACAGCGGCAAATCCGCCGTAAAGGGTCTCCGGAACCAAAACAAATTATATCCCAATTCTGAGCTAATGCAAATACAAATCTAAATTGAAATCGCGGCAGGTAAATAACGACCGGGGCAGTAAATTAAAAGTGCAGAGAAAAAGGTCCAAACTCGGGTCTAAGCTCAACAAAAAAGTACGTTAAAGAAATAGACAGCCTGATAATTGAATAATAGCCCATTTTATGAAAAGTAAATAAATATAAATGAAAACTTGACTGGGATTCTGAAAGGAAAATCTTCATATTCTCGAATACGAAACGAGCCTTGCTAAATGTTTAAATACATCTCGAGAGTTCTTATTACTCAAATATTTCTGAGTGAAGGCAGCATAATTAGAAAGTTTATAATTCACCGCAACCGGCTACATGTGGCACATGCAATCACCTGTAAGCACACACAGACATTGCGAAGCCACACCCACACACACACACACACACACACACGCGTTATATATTACGTCAATAAAGTTTTTTAACTGCGCTCGACTGGCAACAGCAGAGTTCTCCATTTAATGAGATTTTCCCCGCACAGCGTTCGCATTTAAAAAATGCGAGACTTACACTCGCACTATTTTCAAATGTTTTAGCACACGTTTTTCACTTGGCTTTCGTTTCGTCTTTGTCTTTGACAGTTTCCGAGTATTGCCGCAACACGGGCACCTCGACTAGGCGACGCATGATGACACAACACTGCTGGAACGAAATGCACGAGCTGCATCCACTTAGGTAAACTAACGAGCTAAGCAAATACGAATCGAAGGCGAGAATGCTCTTCGAAACGGAAAACAAGCATCTGGCAGTTGGACGACATCGGCTGCATAATACTCGTTCGCTCAGGATAAACACATCTCCATTTGCGCGCTCTAGAGAAAGTTGAAGAAAAAGTTTTTACCTGCCTGCAACGGGCGAACTTTTGATAAAATCCAGATATACCCATTGTCTCCTTGCCCCGTAAACGAGCATTAAGAGAATTTTAAATAAAAAAACAAATCGAATATCGTATTTCTTTAAGCTAAAACTGTTTGTGATGTTCAAGTCAAATAGGTGTAAAATCAAAACAAATTTAATTGGAAAAGAAGAAAGAAAACACTAAAAAAAACTGAAAAAAATGAAACAATTTGTAATACAAATAGTAAGAGTCGTGTTATCTGTGTATATAAAACTACTACGCGTACCTGTGTAAGCCGAATTTTAGCCAACAATTGCATGCACACAAATGCATGTGTGTGTGGGTGAAATTAAATTATGCCTAATTTTAATGCTTCAGCTTAATGGCGCTTATTGAATTTTGATTGAATCGATTGAAAAATAGTATTCAATAGTCAACCACAAACACTCGACTCGTTAATAAATGTGCAACCAAAAATAAATAGGCTTTGCGAAAAATAATTGACACATTCAATTATTAACTGTACACCAACTATTTAATAACTGTAATAAATATGCATTTTGTTCACAGAACTTTCGGTTTTTGAATACGGCCTACCAATCGAATTATCAACCATCAAACTGAATTGCGCATCAATTTTATAAGTGGGTTTTTGGGGTTTGGTGTTTTGGGTTTTGGGTTCTGGGTTCTGGGTTTTCGACACGGCAATCATTACAAAATACATTTTCAATTTAACATGTTCCATTGACCACATCGTAAGCGGCTGAACTAACTAAACGATTTGGGCCAAACGGTTCGCTCTGCTCCAGGCACAACTACAACAAAAGCTGAGCAGCTTAGTGCTTGGCAATAAAAAAAGGTCAGTCAAAGAGAGATTGGACATGCCCTATAAGCCACGACCCCGACCAAGCGACAGACTTTAAAGAGCAACCGAGAAACGACATCTACAGACATTATATAAATGTATATCAATTTGAAATTTCCAACAGGACGATTCGAGGATTATATGAAGAGCCGCAAATGGCGAGCAGAAGTCACGCGCGGGCCATGTTTACGAATCGCTGCTAATTGCCATGACGAATTAACATTCAGACATCCTAAATCTGCGCGGAGCTTAACACATTTCAATGAAAATCCATATTATTAAAGCGTTTTTTCTTTGTTGACTTAACATACCCTGTAAGCATTAACGACACAAAAAACAATTATAATCCTCATATTAATCCTAACGTTAAATTGTATAATAGAAATAGAAATGTTCATTAATTTTGATAGCCAAACTTATGCCAACTAATATTAAGTATACGCATTAATGTTGGGTTATGTAATAGAGAAATAAATCAGCTATTACAGCTGACATTACGTATACTACTATTAGTTTATATAACACAGAAAAGATATGCTGCTGTTATTTTCGCAAAGTATTTCTGATTAATTACAATATACAACTAGTCCTTAAGCTATTTAGCAATAGCAACTGCTAATTGAAGCAACAGCAAATTAAGCTCATTTATATAACTGCACAATCCAACCACACTACATACATACGTGCCTGACTATATAAATTCCAAGTCGTGTACAGAGAAATTCCTTTTAAAGAGTAAACTCTCGTTGGCCACTTTACTCTTTCTTTGGCTTAAAAATAATATTTGCGTTATTCCATATAAGATATACGCCCCTAAAAAAAGCAATTGTGCCAACCGCGATGACTTGCTCACGAATTATTTTCGTTTTTTGCAGAACGTTAACATTAATGGCTCAGCGAGCAGTTTGTGCATAACAAATTGCCATAAAATTACACCGGCTTTTGAAATTCCCTTGCGCTTGCACACAAAATTAAATTCAATTCAATCAAATTGACGCAGCCCAAACACACACACACACACACACACACACACACAACAAGTGAAGCAAATAATTTTATGTGGGCTCGAAATTCAGCAGAAAGCTGCTTATATAATGTGTATAATGAAATGGGATATCTCAAGCGTTGCCAACAATAACAAATAACATACATAATACCAACAACAGCAAAATATGTGTTACATCAGTTGCAAACGCAAATCATAAACTATTGCCACAATTGGGGAGGCAACACAAAAAAAAAAAACTAAATTGAAAGTGAATGATTAGAAATGAAAATTCTATAACAAAAATAATTCCAAGCTTGTGCAAATTGTTTCAGTTGAAAAAGACGAAGCAAGAATAAGAAAGGACGAATACAGAATACACTTTGTTAGAGAAACGTACGGGATCTATTGCTGACTGATGAATATAGGGCTGAGGTATGATAAAGCCATATACATATGTATCGAAAAGCTTTAATCTGTTTCCTTAGACCCTAAGACAGCAACACCTCTCTTCACACTGATCAAGAATAAAATAGATTACTCTATGAGCTATTGCCGCTTTCAGCAGAGAATTCCCATAAGACCTGCATAGCTCAATTTGTATTTTGTTTAATTTGTAGTTTATTAAAAATTCTTCAAAATAATAAATAAAGCAAGGAAAAACAATTATCAAATTTCCTACAATTAATAAGAAATGCAAAAAGTTTTCTGCGTAAAATAGCTTGGCCATTTTATCTATTCAACTAGAGATATTTTTTACTTTTGCTCAAGTCAAGACAACAATTTATCGATTCAGCCTGAATCGTTGGCATTTTGTACATTAAATTATTTGTTCAGTCAGCTAAAAGTCATCAGAATATTATGGCTAAATCATTTATATTCAATTGCAATGAAAGTTAATTAAGGTAGATAGCAAGAAGCAGATGGATTTTCTATTGCAGATAATTCATACCTTTCTCGTTGTCGCTGTGCAGATTGCCCACGCTGCTGCCAAAGAAGCGTTTATCCAGTATCTGCAGCAGCTGCAACGCGGTCGCGTGTACCTCAACGCGGGGGCAGCCCGTCATCAGAAGCGTAACGGTAATAACTGACGTATAATGGTCGCATGGATACTCTCTGCAAAATAAATAAAAGAGATGAGCAGAGTGGGTGAGAGAAGCGGAAACAAAGAGTCTATACGCATATGGGTTAATGGATTTTGTGCACTTCAAGAATTTTGCTTAAGATATTAAAAGTTCGAGCGTAAGCAAAAAGTTAACTCGGTTGTGGTTTGGTGGTTTCGTTAAGCACCTGTCTTTTACCTCAGCTAACGAGCTGGAGCTGTCCCATAAGTAGATAAAAGGGACAGGCAGGCAAATTAACAGTTTGCCCAATTAAAATTCAATCACATAACCCAACCCAAGCCAACTCACGCACACACAGAAGGCCCTAATGTGAAATGGAACCGATATAAGGCGAGTAAGAGAGGTGGAGTGAGAGAGTGAGAGAAAGTGAGAAAAAAAAAAAGCGATAAAGCCATTACCTGCGGCTGTGGCTCTGCCTAAGTTGTACCCTATGCAAATTTTCTAAAAATCAATTCTCAATTTGCATACCAAATTGGAGGCGCTGAAAAGTATGCTATGGATTTCGCTCACTTCTTATTGAACAACTTTGCACAACTTCAAGACGTGCCAAATTTGCTGTTATCTGATAAATTATTAATATAACAAATCTTTTTGCAAATTTGATGAGAGAGTAAACGGGTTAAGTGACATAAACAACTTAAGACCCATATTAAGTTTGAATGGCAAATGATTCTTAAGAGACTACAAAATCAAATTAAGTTTTTGTTCAGCTCAGGAATTTTCTTAGTTAATTATTGCAAACCCGAGATTCGTTTAAAACTTATTTTACGGTTTACTGTCTGCTCACACTTCACTTTGTTTAGCCAACACTTTGGGCATTTAGTTGATACAATTACAACCAGGCAGGTGTTGAGTGCGGGTTTAAATTTCTTTTACAATTTCACCTGCAACGAGCGTAAAACGAGCATAACAAAAAAAAAAAAAAAAAAAAACAGGAACTAAAAACTAGTCTGTCTCTGTTAGCATTTTGCAGCTAATTGGAAATGATTTTGCAGTAAATAAAGTTTAAAGGGCCAATCTGGCGTGGCCTTTGGCACTGAATGCATTCGAATGAAAAAAAAAAGAAGCGAAATTCTGTTTGCTGAAATTTATATTGAATTTTCTATATGACACTACATGTGCGTGTGTGTGTGTGTGTCTTAGCTTGTGTGCTTAACTGTTATACAAACAATTTGTGCCATTGTATGATAAAGGCGACCATAGACAATTTTGGCATTGAAACGATTTGAAGTTTGGAAAATTAAAAGCCACACTAAATCAAAAATTTAACCATTTGTAAACTACAAAATGCAGCGAAGCATTAAGATGGAAATTTATATTGTCTATATGGGCAGCAGCACGCAAAAGATACAGAAACAGCAGCTGCTTCCAGATAGCGCACTTTGGCACGCCAACAAGAAATATCATAAACAATAAACACAAAAAGCAAACAAAAAATAACAAAAAATCAACAATTTTTGCGACATGCACCATGTGGCATGTGCCGCAAATAGTCGAAGCGAATCACACACACGAAAGTGTGTTAGGGCTCAAATAAATATAAATTGTATTTGACTCGTTTAAGGTTAAATGTTCCAATAAAGTACCTGCAATACGACTTCTTCTTAATTCTCAATGCATTTTCAGCATGAGAATTCATTTTTCTTACTACAAATTAAGTTCACTATAAAGCCAAGACATAAATAAGCCACATTAAAAGCAATTTCCATGAAATTCGTAATGAGAAAAGTCACTGAGAAATTGACGAACGCAATAAAATTTAATAAAGTCTCGCCAAGGGCGAATTTTCAACCGAATTTCTTTTTTTTTTTTTATGAGCAATACACTTTATTAAGTTTTAATATACACAAGTATATAAATATATATACCTATGTACTGCTTTTCGTAAATTATCGCGAGCCTAAAAGACTGTTTATCACCTGGCTGGAATGCAATAAAGCACCAAAAGGAGTCAACACACAGACGCAGTCAAGCACTCACTCAGACAGCCTCAGACCATCGCGATAAGCATGCAGCACAGCAGAAAAGGTAGACACTCATGGAGATATATAAATGCACAATACATGACATACATATATGTATACATATGTATATATTGTTTGTTGCTTGTCAATGAAGGCTGTAAATTTAAAGCGGGAATCATGGCCGCCAGACACGTGAGCAACCACTTAAGCCCCAGCACACGCATCCACACACACACAGACACACACAGAGAGAGAGGACTGGGGTAGATGGCTGGATATACGGTAAACGAGGTTATTTGTAAATAGATCACGTTCTTGGTGGGGGATTGACGGCAATCGGGACTTGGGAGTCGATTTGGAGCGCGACTAATGCCTTAACATATTAAATTGACGAGTGATTAACTTACTTGGCACTGAAGATTGAGGCCAAAGCCAAGAAGCAAGCATCAGCCTCACGTGGCGTCGACGTATAGCAGCGATCGATTACCCATTCGAGCAGCTGGCCCATATCCGGATTTGATTCCAGCAACAGCACAACCGTATCGCGTGCCAATTGATAAATCTAAACAACAAACAATATGAGCTGATATATACATATATAGCTGACATTGCTCTGGTCAACCCACCTTTTCCTCCTTGGAGGTGAGCAGCAGATCCAGCCACTTGTAGATGATGCCATCGTCCTGCAGAAGGGGCGTATAGAAGATGTGACCGCAGCAGAGCAGAGCGGACATGGCCTGCATAAGACATACAAGAGATATTCGCTTAAGGTCACATAAAGGAGGAAGACGGAGCCAATGACTTGCCTGTAATGCGCTGAATTGCAGTTTCTCCTCCTCGGGGGTTTGGCCAATCTGAGAGCTGATGCTTAGTGGCTTGGAGAAGCTGCCACACCATGTGGCAAATAAATTGAATAGATTACGCTTCAAGTCACGCGACAATAAAGTGGCGCACGATTCAACTGTGTCAAGTAGTTGCTCAAGTTAGAAAATATAATTTAGATTCAATTCAATGGAAACCTACGTGAAAAGTTCTTAATCATTTTCCGTATGAAATTGCAGAAATGCGCTTTGACCTCACGTATGCTGAGATTATCCTTGTCCGTTTCGGCCATCAGGTATGCCATGGCGCCCTCTATGTACTCCACAAACGTGGGATGCAGCGACATGGTATCACGTTCCAATACGCAGGAGCTGTGCGGAAGGAGTCAACGAAAATTGATGTATATATTTCTGTGTTGGGGATTAGCGGTGCTTACCTCACGCCAAAGGTGCCATTTTCAGCTATCTTCTCCAGCACACGCACCACCTGCAGACGCAGTGCATCGCGCCGACGACGACGTCGCATATTCTCCTGCTTTCGATCGACAGCCTCGCGTATGTAGACCACCAGCTCCTCCATGAGATCCCTGTTAAATTGAGATTAAGTGTCTCGTCGAATCACAGATGTACACTTTCCGCTTACTTGAGAGCATCGTGATTTATCATGCCCAGCGCATTGACAGCCGCATCCCGCACATCAATGGCCTCGCAGCGCAGCAGGGGCACCACCAGCTTGTACAGTGCCTGCGGGGAGGCGCTGCCCATCGCTGATTTGTCGCTGCGATCTGCGTTTAGGGAATCTGGCGATGAGCTATAAAATAAATTTTACGGTCGCAACATTTTAGTGTCCTGTTTTAATGCTTAAAGTTCCGCAACTCCTCACACGAAGCCTGCTGGCCCCTGAAAGCGCTGGGCAAGAGCTATTGACAGAGGCTCGGCTCTTCGCTGGCCGTCAAATGCGTAATTCTATTTATATTTATAACTGAGTTGCCCCATTTACTTTATTAAAATTAACATTATAAATATTAGATGCGCACAATTTCAATTAAAAAGTAACATTTCGCATCAGCCAAAAAAATAAATAAATAAATGTGTTGACAGTAAATAAAATTGTGTATCTGTATACATATATTTATGCACTGCATATAGTATCATTCTGGCTGTGAGCTAAGGCGAACATGGTGCGTGTGGGCTTGTGCACATCAGTCAGCAAAATATAAAATAAACAAACTTGATTCTCTTCACAATTTTTCAGCATGACAAAAAATGGGCAATAAAAGGAGGTGGGCCACGCGCAGCGCAGCAAACGAATTTGGTGCAAAAATCAAATGCCAAATACAATAAAAAATAACAAAAAAAAAGAGAGTGCTATAGTCGAGCGTAACAGACTTTAAAATACCGTGTAAATATTTACGATTTACTATAAAACTTTATTACCTTAGATTGATAGGTTGATAGAGAAGAGAATATAAGCAGACGGACAGACAAGAAATGGCACAAAAAAAGCAAAAAATATATATATTTAGTATATACTTATATACCCATATATACATTATCAAGTAAACATATATACACGCTTATATTCAGCGAATCATCATCATTAATCTACATAGCTTCATTTGTCTTGCATTTGCAGACTAACCCTTAACATATTCACTAACTACAGGGTATTAGTCTCAAAATGTGGTCAAACTGAAAGAATTCAGCCAACATGGAAATATTTAATACTTTAAGCACATATTGATTTGCAAGCAAGGCTTTGCTTTATTAAAACTACAACTAAAACGTTTTCTACAAAATTCAATAAATACTATCAACATCACATCTACAAATATTGAGAGAACTATTTGTGATGCTCAATGCAAATGCGCATTAAATGAACAAATTATCACATATGAGCAAAATATTATTAAACAGCAAAACCTGCTTTAACGTGGATATTTGGCAATTAAAGGTAAATATTAGCAAATTAAAAGACATTTCTAAGCAGCTACGTACGTTATAGGCATTAAGCATTGAGTTGCACGGCACAGACACACACACACACACAGAGAGAGACACACACACACAATACACACAGCACACAGCACACACTGAGAAGCACTTATGGCCATAAAAGCCACATTAAAAGTAATCGGAGCAGACTTATGCATAAGTTTCTTGTTTGCTTATATCTTTGTGGGATTTCTTGGGATGTTTTTGGGATAGTTGGGGGATGTGAGAAGGTTTCGTTTTGTTGTATTGTGTTGTATTGTGTTGATTTGCTTTACCCAAGTCGTTTCTGTCGCGCTTCTTTGCGTCCGTAGGAGAGCGGCAGAGTGAAACGTGTCACAATTCCCTCCGGCCCAAAAACATTTGACGGTATATTGTCCAACGAATCGGATAGCGAACGTGAGTCCGATTGATCTTGTAAACTATAAATTACAATCCATATACAGTGATAAAAACATAGATATATAAATTCATAGATAGACAAACAACAACAAAAACAAACGAACAATGGCTTATTTGTGAATATATATGATCTTTGACCAATAGCGAGAAAATTCTTCACAAACTGATTTTGATGTAGACATATGAACATATGGACTATGAGCTGTGTAGATAAATAACATTCCCCAACTCACCAACTCACACATATAACAATAGTTATGAACTGAGTGTGTATGTGTATGTGCTGTGATAAAACTATTAGACCTCGAATTAAATAAAAAATAAACTACAAACTAAAAACCCTTAGCGAAGGAAATATAAATTGAACTCGCAGCTGTCCAATTCAAATGAAATTTTAATATTCAATTTTAAATGAAAGCAGCGGCGATAAGAGACACATTAAATTATACATTTGCTGGCTGCTGGTCCACTAATAATTCGAGCTGTTGTGATTGCATATTGAAGGCGTTCGCCTCATTTACATATTCAGAGACAGCCGTAGCCAAATTCCTGATAAAATTTGCATTTCAAACAAAGCAAATAAATATGGATGAGTGTGTGTGTGTGTGTGTTTGTTTGTTTGTTTTGGATGCAACAGGACTACAATTAAAATTACATTTACAAAGAAGTAAGAGTACAACACTCAAATGACACGAACTATAAGAAAGAATAAAGAACATACAACAAGCAGACAGAAACTCTATTTACAACACAGGACAACGGGGCGTATGATTGCTCTGCTTTGGATGCATACTTTTCACTTTTCCAATTAAGAATTTTGATTGATATTATGCAAATCCGTGAATACAAATAGAATTCAAATTCACTTTAATAGATATTTGAAAACAATTTTTACTTGAATATGTCATTATTATTACAGGTGCGAATAGGTGTATGGATGTGTGTGTGTGTGCGTGGTTGTGGTGGTGCGTGTGAAACGTGGAAACGTGGACAAACAATTGCGGACAGGCGCATCAGATGCAACTTAGTTGAAAGCAAACAAACAGGTAGACTAACTAAAAGAGGTAGACCAACTAAAACGAAACGGTAACAAAATTAAATACAAAATGAATTTGCATAGAAGTGGAACAGGCACACGTGCGCTGATTATAATCGAATGCCAAATGTTAATCAAACATGGGACTAATGAAAATGTATTATTTTCGACTGCGATTGAACCCACTCACAATTTGTTTTTAGATGCATTGAACAAAGTTGGTTGGCAATGCCTTTTGGACATTTTCAAACTTACCTCAAGCTCAGATCTGGAGAGGCACAGCGCACGGCTACGCTTGGTATTTGTGGAACGAGGCGCATGGCACAGGCCACCTGATTGCGCCACAGACGCATGTACAAATCCTTTTGTCTCTCGGTGGGCATCTTCTTTGTGGGCGCCGAGCCGCGTAGCAAGGAGGCGCGGTTATCACTGACAGGTCTGCAGTTGGGACAGAACACAAATGGAAAGTTAGTTGAAGAACTCTTCGGTCCCTTCAGGGCACTTCAGCTTACGTGGGATCTATGACGCTATAGAGTGCAGTGAGACGTGCATAGCAAATGGGCCAGGCCTGGGCCACCGCCGAGGGGCATTGCTGCAGCACACGCTGGCGCTCCAACAGACCAAACAGACAGATCGCCCAGGGATCAATGGGCGGCTGCGGCGAGGTGGCAGTTGCAGCGGCTGCAGCAGCTGCTGAGCTCGACTGCGAGAGATTCAGCGTTGATGTGGAGGACTTTGAGTTGTCTAAAATAATATAAAAGAAAAACAACTTTAATAACCATGAACTAAATTAATTGCCCAGCCAGCTTACCATCTGTGAGTCCGGCCAGCCAAACGCCGCCGCCGCGCTCAGCTATCCAATACAGATCAATGCAGTTGGCATTCAGTATGGCCGTCTTCTCTGCCTGCGGCAGCATCGGCAGACATTTCTCCACAACTTGCGGACAGAAGCGATCCATGACATCGATCAGAGGTGGTTCCGTTTCGGGTAGGCCCAGTGCACGCATCAGGTTCTTCACCTCCTTGAGTATAATGACTGCCAGCTTGCGCAGATAGAACTTGTAATTACAGAGCAGCACCAGGGCGAAGCCCTCCACAAAGTGCAGCGTGGTAATCAATGGTATCTCATTCTTTTTGCCCGCATCGCTGGCCGCCATATTGAGCACCGTGTGCTGGGTAATGCTGGACATGCCACTGGAGGTGGTGATGCTCGACGCAGCACTGCTGGCTGTGTTTAGATGCTGCTGCTTGGACTGTTGACTGCTGGTGGTTTCCTTGCCAGCGGCGGTCGCTGCTGTTCCACCAGCAGCCACAGGCGCGGCTTGGGAAGCCGCTGTGCCGGTTGTAGCCGCTGCTCCACCAAGTTTTGACTGTGCGGGATTATTGGCAGCGCCAGTGACGCCTGTGCTGGGTACGCTGCTGTTGCCGCTGCTGCTGTTGTTGTTGCCGGTGGCTGCAGCGCCGTTGACATTAATCGCGCAGCGCCAAATGGTTAGGAGAACAGACAAGATGCGCGTACAGTTCTCCAACAATTGCGGATAGGTGTCGGTGACATCGCGCACCAGAAACTGTGTGTAACCGTGCACGACATCCTGACGCCAATCCGGAAAGTCTTTGACCAGCGTCTGCAGCGATTGATACGTCAGTATGCGCAGCTCTTCATCCATGTGCACGGTCAGGCGTGACAGCAAGTCGACCAGCTCTTGGGTCATTGTGTCGGGTATCAAACGTGGCACAGCCGCCACACACGTCCGAAAGAGATCAATGCGCGGCTTCCGTTCACCAGAGAGCATCTCGTCGGGCTCCTTATTCTGATTCTGCGTATTCGTCATCATTAATGGCCGCCCACAATGTACATCCAGGGCACGTAAGATGTCCACAAATACACGACGTACGTGCGGAAAGTATGTGGACATGCCAATGCTACGTGCCGTCTCATCTGTCAACATCTTGTTGATGTACGTCTTCTTCACACGCAGCGTATTTCCCGAGGGCAGCGCCGGCACAGTGCGCGGCATTGGCGGCTCGCCATCCTTTTGCTGCAGTGAATCGGCAACCACTAGGAATGCACGTAGGCCAATGCTCATGCGTTCCGGATTGAGTATGACTTTGATGGAGCGCCCCACACAGAGTAAATCGTACACAATCTCCCGCATAGCAAAGTCTAAACGCTCCTGGGCAATAAACTGAATAATCTTGACAAAGATATTCAACGGTGTATCACGCGGCACAACGCCCTTGGAGCCCCTGCAAAAGAAGAACTGTTACTAAGAGCCATTTCATTCACATCCAGAACAATTTACTTGGGAAACAAGGAGTTGACAATGCTCTGCAGTCGTGAATGCGTAGCCGAGTTGGACTCGCACTTGATCCTGATCATGTAGACCCACAGGAGACGAAAGAGCGACTCGAGGGCAACACGACTCATTTTAGCATCGCGATTCTTCAGATTGCTCAGGCACATGGCCAGAAAGTAATGCCAGTTGGTCAGAAAGAAAGTCTTCTGCGAAACGCAGAGCAGGCAAGTGACGAGCGGAAACAATGCCAGACGATGCTTTGACTTGGTCGATGCATCCAGCGTCTGCACGTACAGCAGCTCCACAAAGTTCTTGACGCACGGCACGTTCACCTCATTCTTAACGGCCTGCAAAATATAGTTGGATTAATATATATTCGCATGTAATTATAAGTATGGTATGCTTACCGCCGCAACGGGCACTAGAATCTCCACAAAAAGTCCAGCCAGCGCATGTTTGATGTCCTTGTCCTTCACCTCCAAGAAGTATTGACCACATTCGTGCATGAATTGAAACGATGCCTCAAACTCCTCGATGGGCACCATTTTGACGCGAAAGAACTTCATGCCCATCAGCAGGCTAATGATGCTCTGCGTGGTCGTGGGCGACGCCTCTTTGCCGCGCAACTCCTTCAGCTCGAACATGAAACGTTTCCGCACCGAAGCGAATCGACTCTGGGCCAGCACGCCAATCACCTCCGAGTAGAGATCCGCAATCATGTGTATGTTATGGGCATTTGGATTGTTCTGCAGGCCATCCTTATACTTGAAGTGCTTAAAGGCCAGATTCTCGATGCTGCGCACGAGATCCTCATGGCCCGGATGAAATGGCAGCTGCTTGAGTATCTCAATCAGAGCCAAACAAAATATGAACTCCACAGCTGCCTCGCGACGCTGCAGCTGAAAGTCCAGATCAACGCTGGTCTTGTTCACAGCCTGAACACTGCTGCCCGATGCTGGCTTCTTCAGGTCATTCTTGATCTCCATGTCGGACAGCTGGCGGCGATGCCAGGCGAGCAGTGTGTGCAGCAACGAGGGCAAACAATGCTCGGCCACAGAGCCCAGAGCGGAGAGCAACTGATCGAATTGCGGATCCTCGCCGCGTTGCAGCAACTTCGATAGATTCTTATCGGCGCTCTCCAGCATGGCCAGCTCGATTTTCTTCTCCGCCTGCGCTGTGAAGTCGCTGAACAAATTGCGCATGACTATCTCGCCGGGTCGGGGACCTGCGGTCAGCTCAGCGCTGGCCACACTGGCCGCCAACGCATGCATCTCGGCCTGCGTGTAACTGGGCAGCACGTTTATAATGTTGCTGCGCGAATGTGCGCCCCAAGGCAGCAGCGACTGACGTTGCGGTATGATCAAAGGCGGCAATGCAGCTGGAGGGGAGGCGTAGCTCTGACGATTGGCGCTATAGCTGATGGCGGCCGTGGCTTGAACAGCGCCCGACTGTTCCTGATTAGTCACCGACGATTGTTGCTGTTGTTGTTGCTGCTGCTGCTGCTGTTGTTGTTGTTGCTGCTGCTGCTGCTGTTGCTGCTGCTGTGGCTGCTGTGACTCATACTCTATGCTGTAAGGGTATTCCTCGCCAAGTATTTGATAATTTATGGGCGATGTGGTGCCACTGCCATTGGCAGACGCCGATGCGGACACTGATGCGGCTGATGCTGATGCTGCTGCAGCGGCACCGTTAAGCCCAATGCGTCCTGACTTGGGCGTTAAGCTATATTCACTGGAGTTTATGGAATGACGCTGAGCGGGTGAGCCGTTTGCCTCCGGCGGTGGCTCGTTATCAACGTTATCGCCGCTAGCGTGATAAAGATCTTCATGGTAAGCACTACGTTGTGGACTCTTTGTGGGCGTGGTATTAACAGCTGTGCCTGTTGCCGCTGCTGCTGCTGCTGCTGCTCCTGCTGTTCCTGCTGTTGTTGTTGCTGCTGTTGCAACTGTTTCTGCTGCTGTTGTCGCATTGGGACTGCCGCCAGCTGGTGACCCAAGGGCCGCCGCGCCACCAACAACAACTGTGGCGGCCTCGCTCACGTGTTGCTCATTTGGGTTTTGATTTGTGCCTAAGGGGAAAAACAAAAACAAAATCAGTCATAAAATTATAGCAGTTGTAAATGGATTCGCACTCTTATCAACTTATCAACTTATCAATACGCCGAAATGGAGCTCAATATAAAAATGCGTATATAATGTGATTCACTTAGTGTGACGGCACTACAAGCTACCCTTTTAGCCTTTTAGCAAACAACAACAAAGCTCATGGGTATTCGTTTATGTTCAAAATTTGTTTACTAAACAATTATGATTGTGTGCGTTTTTTTTTTTTTTTACCCAAAATATATTTAGTTTTTTCTTGTTAGTTGTTAACACACGCCTAGCAAATCATATCTGCAAATAGAAAATATTATTATCTCATCATCAGCATAATGTGTTTTCGGTTTTTTTTGTGGGTGTGTTGTAACTTTGAACCCGAACAGGTTGCCTGGATGAAGAATACCCTATAGACGTGTTTTGTCGTTATCGCTAAGAGTCCATTTCCTCGTGTGTGCTCATTTGTTCAGTTGTGTTAGCTTGTATCTTAATTAGAAAATGTTAACGATGCATGGCACACAAATTCATTATCGGCATATCGCATGTCTAGCTAAAATATATACACATACATATACAAATATTGGCAAACAGTTGAGACTGTGATTCGATATGATACGATGGGGCTCGTGTAGTTTTTTTTTTTATTATTATTATTTTTATTTTTAGATGACGACATCGCATCAATTTTTCAATCTATGCCAATCCAAAGTCTAAATAAAGCATGTTCGTCCTCATACAATATTTCGCTAAATATTATTATTAAACAAACTCTATTTATCTCTAACTTTATCGCGGTGCCATCGAACAACACGTCAAAGAACAAACACCTTTTGATATCAATTCAAGCGAAAAGCCAATTTCACCATTTTTATGTAACATACATACACACATATGTATGTATGTATGTAAGTACATATATAAAAAACATTGTCGGGATTATTCCGAGTACCACAAGACTTGTCATCTACGTAGATCATGAGCGTTTCGATTTCCAGTGAAATTCATGTTTGTTATTAAATATTCAGTCATTTATTCGAGGAATTGAAATGGTATTGAAGACATCAATCCAAGCGAAAACTTAACAAATTATCAGACGCAATTATTAAGATCGTAATAAAAAAAGAACAGCAGACTATTCCTACACAGTAGATAAATTGATAAAAAATAAAATAAAAAAACAAGATAACTGTTAACCATGTGTGAATTAAACAATAAACAATAATCATAAGACCCATAAAGTTTATTATCAATTTCGCCTTCAATGAAGCCAATAAATTTCTTATAATATTTAACCGACTTTGTGCTACCTTAAGACCACCGACAAAGCCTTAGGTTTATGGCTAAATCACATACTTGCTGCTCAAATCGATAGACATGAATGTATTAAATGAAAACCCAGCCGCTATTTCAAGTTCAACTCAAACATTTTGTTGTTGTTGTCCCTAAGCAGTCATTGCATGGCCACAGCAAGCCTTTCTCTATTACATGCGGCTACAAGTAATATAAATAATACATGTTAAATGACAGACGTTAGACGGTAAAAAGGAAGTCGTGTGATGGGAATGCGGCAGGCATTGCCGTCAGCTGTTTCACAGGACTCGAAGGGCTCACACGACACTTAAAGGTCACAGTCAAAGTTCAGGGCAAAGGTTTCGCTGTCACTGAATAATTGATCAACTGTATAAAAGACTACCTAGGTCGATATACTATATATAGTACATGTGTATATGCATAATATATAGGCATGTTTATGTTTGCATATCGGACGACTGCCTCAGCTGCCATGAAAGTTGCGCAAAGTTTACGAAATCAATTTTCTTCTCATTCTAAATTCAATAAAATGTAAACTTATGAACATTTGTTGCTCGTTATCTAAACATGCTCGCCACAACAGATATCTGGGGAAAAACAAGATAAGAATGTGACAATTGTCATAAATGACATGATGTTACCCTGCAATATAGATTTGAGAATGACAAAGAAAGGTGATCTTAACAAAAGAGACAAGAGAGTAGAATGGGGAGCACAATGGGAACGATTGAGTATGCCATAAATATAGGTAGAAACGAGTTAAAGACCAAGGGAAACTATCCAAAAACCCACAACTCCCATATACCCCATTTCGATTTCAATAGGTATATACAAATGCGCAGAAAATATGGAAAATTGCGTTAAAAATATATAAAATCCAAACCGACAGCAAAGACAGATTCTCCCCATTTGTTTGTGTATATTATTAATAACGTATTAACACGCTCGCGTCCCATCAAAGCGAAAAAAAAAGAAGAAGAAGCCAAGCGAAAGTAAAGCAAACGAATGGAAGCAAACTGAAATTCTTGTTTTAAATGCGCCATGGATGTGTCATTTAACAAAACTACAACAGTAACAACAACTTGGCAAAGACATGCGACCGAACACGAATCTCTCCGCTCCTGATCTCTTGCTGCCCCAGCACAGCACTTAGCGGACGTCTCCGATTCTCACATCCAATTTCAGTGGGCCAAAAGTTGAAGAACTGCAGCGCAGGCAAAACGAAACATGTTTCTGTTCCTTTTTCTTTCTCTTCTTTTTGAATTCAAATGCGCAATTAAAAATAAGTAAAAACATTTTTGAAAAATCAGCAAAAAGAACAAAAATGTTGCAAATAATTTGTGTAAATTATAATACCAATTAGAAATGTACAAGCTGGTTATGATGGACTTGAAGAATTGATTCTTGTTTTCAGAGAAGAAACTATTATTTGTTAACTGCTGACTGCATATCTCGTTTCTTATTGAGAAGGATTTTTTCCAGACTTCAATGAATGAATGAGTATCTTGCAGTCGAGTCAACCCCACGTCTCAAGCACTGCCACTTGTTTACGTACAATTTTGTGAAATATTGCGGCTAAAAATTTATAATTTGTGTAGGATTCTTTATAGATTATCAGCCAATTGCACGAATCAAATACATTTATTAAACAAAAGAGCTGAATTTACTGCAATAGCAAATGACTTTGTAGGAAAAAAAACCATGGAAAAACAATAAAAATTTTCCTAGAATTGATTTGAATTTTTTATTGATTTTCCCTTAGACTAAATGATGAACCATTTAGAGAGCTCAGCCAGGCGAAAATGGGCCATCAGAAGCCATAAAACAAAAATAGCGAGAGCTTTTCTTAACTTTTCTATACATCTTTGCATATGTAGACATAAATATGTATATTTTTTCTTTTTGTCACCCACACTGATAATATTTAATTGTCAATTTGTTTGACAGATATTTTTGATAAATGTTTTGTAAGTGAGGGAGCTCTATATGTATGTTACCTTTTAGTTTTTTTGGTGTCCATTGAAAGTTCCATAACATGAAACTGGCGCATAAATTTGTAAAGTAATCACAGTTAGGAAAATGATGCTCAGGCAGGTTTTCCAACGTTTAAACACGACAACAATAATAATGATAATTATAATAAGAGATAATATTCCGAATACAAAGCGCAAATAATTGGCACAATTCTTCTTGTGGGTATTCTCTCTCTCTCTCTCTCTCTCTCTCTCTCTCTCACTGTCTCTATCTGCGTGTGTGTAGGTGGAAAGGGGGCAGGTGATTAAATAAACGCTGGCATTTGTAAGTACGCGTAATTAGAGGCACGTGAGCTTTGTTACTCTATCTAAACACCAATTATATTTATGAGAAGTAATTAATTTCGCGTCGATTTTCGTTCTTTCCCTAGCAGGATTTTTTGTTGTAATTGTTGCTCTCATTGTTTTTGCTGTTGCTGTTGTTGCTGCTGGTTGCTATTGTTGATAAGAACAGGCCATACAGCACATAAATGTGTCACCACACAACGAACGTATTTTAGGACTTGCGGGCCGAGATTAGATCGTATATAAAACGAAAATAACAACAAAATCACAAAGCGGTACAACAAATTCAGCTGTTTGTTAGTTTTTTTTTGACGTCACTCATATAACTATAAATATAAATAATAACGATTATCTGTAATTTTACAGCTTTTTTCGAAATTCAGTTTGATGTATTGTATTGTATTTATAATGCTTCTTTATGCTAATGAGCCAGTTTAAAGGCGTCTCAAGAAAATGAGCTCAGCGCTTTGAATTTGAAATCGACATATGACGCTGATGACAGCAAGAACAACAATATCAGCAACAAGAACACAATAACAAAATCAACAACAATAATACAAAATTCGGTTGTCAAATTACAATTTCGAGTCAATTTAACGCATTTATTTATATATTTGCGCGATCATTTATATATTTATAGGTGTGTGCAGCCCATATATCTTCACGTTCACATCGCACACTAAACACAATTTCTGTCGGTTAAAACAAAAACACACAATCTATATATTTATATATACATATGCTCATATATGATATATATATATGTGTGTGTGTGTGTATAAAAATATATATATATAAATTTCAATACACAAACGTCGAAAACGTAAAATGCTAAATGCGAGGCGAACTCTGGCGACGACTAATTTCGACTGCGGCGAAAACGCGCGCGGCTCGCAGCCCAAAAAAAAGTTCCAAGCAGCGTCAGAATCAGCAGCAGCAGCGAAAGGCAGCGACGTCAACAACAACAAATACGAGCAATAAGTAATCAAAAAAAAAAGAAATAAATAAACGCGAACGTAAAGCAAAAACAAAAAAAAGGCTGAGCGAAAATCGCGCGCGCTCGCAAATTGAAAGCACAAAATCAAAACAAACGATAATTGTATATTTAAAAATATGATTAAACACAAGAGACAGAAAGAGATAGAGAGAGGGAGAGAGAGAAGTTGCGAGAGCAGCAAGTGTGCCAAAGAGTGTGCAAGTGTGTGAGGTAAGTGTGAAACAGCTGTTGAGAGCGGCGAATTGGAAAAAGCCGCACAGCAATAAAAAGTAACAACAACTCAATCAGCTGAGCAAGTGGCGTCAACTGCGACGCCGACGGCAGCGTCGGCAATTGTAAAACACAATGATTGGCATTATTTATAGTTGTTGCCTGTTCTTCGCTCGTTCTGTTCTCGTTTGTTTTCACAAATATTTCGGATATTAACATAAATTCGATAAAAACGACAACGAACAACCAACAACCAACAACATTGCAATTAGCTCAGAACGAGGTAGTTCATAAGTTGTTATGGCACTTAGCACAAACACAAACAAATAGTTCCGTAATTTTGTTGTACGCCGCGTATGCGTAATCGCATACAAATGCACAAATGAAGGCTAAGAAAAAAGGCGTCACGGCTTACATTGTATAACCCGTTCTCTCGACTTTTTACGCCCCCAAGCTATTGTTTATTACATAAATCATCTTGAAGTGTGTTTGTGTGGTTTTGTTTTGTTTGTATTTGCGTTCGAGTGCGCACAAATTTCTAAATAAATATTTGCAATTTTTTGTTTGTTTTCAATTTGTATTCGATTTGCTTTGTTTGTTATATTTTGCAAGGCTTTGCTAATCATTCAAACTGTACAATTTTTGTAACAATAAACAACCAAGTTGATTATTAACTGTGGAAGCCATAATAAAACGAGAAACATATTACAAATGCACAAAAAGGAAAAAGGTTCGAAAATTAGCACATTATTTCGTATATGCTTCTCTTTCTCTCTCCCTCACTAGCTCTTTAACTTATAGGAGCGCGTATAAGTGTTAGTTAACGGGTTTTATTGCAAATTACATCACGCCCACGCTATATAAATGGCCAAAAACAACAACAAAATGCAAAAAACACACGCGATGACGAACACGCGACCGGAACGCGCCTTTACACACGAAACAGTTTAAAAGAAGAAAACACAAAAACAAAAAAAGGAAGAACCCGAGCAAGGCAGAGAGAACGCACTGCAACTTGACACTTGGCGCGTTGGCAAACAAATGAGCTTTTGAACCCTCAGGACAGCGACTGTGAGTACGACTGCGACGGCAACGGCGGCTACAACTGAAACACAGACGGAGACTGAGCTAGAATCGCACAACTTATGCAATTGGCACAGGTGCCGCACTCAGAGCTCACTCGACATTTGACTTTTGGCGAGCAGCGGCGAAAATTCTGCCTTTACTATTTTTTGTTTTCTTCTTCTTTTAATTTTGCACCACTAGCAGCTGAGAACATCCGTTGGATAAGTGCCAGAGGTTGTGACCAAACTGACTGACGTTCTTGCTTATTGTGAATGTCATTATCAAGGTTTATGTTTTCGGCGTCCATTGTCTGTTTGTGAATGAAATGCCATCACAGCGAACTGAGAGGAGAGCGAGCAGGCACGCATACACACACGCACGCATACACTCATAGTAAATTTACTACTAGGTCTAGGTCAATGCAATGTCCAAATACGCGTGTATTAGTGATGATCTCTCAATATTGAATGCATTGCAAATTTACTCTCCTCCTGCTCTCAACAGTCGCCTATGTGTGTGTGTGCACGAAGGAGAGGAAAACATACGCTCATATCCAACTGTAAGTGACAACGGTAAATAACAGCCCCCGATGTCAAAGCTCAATAAAGAGCAGAGCCATAAATGATGGCAGAGCCAAAGAACAATGACCACACAAATACACACTGGAAGAGGCATATGTAAATGGATTGGCTGTTCGGACATAGGCAATTTTTGTATATAGAGAACAGAGCAGGCACAATTAAAGTGAATCATCGGTAAGCGAATGAGGAAATTAACAGACAGGGGCAAAAGCGCCGACGCAGAGTACTAAACAAGGTGCAAGTGGTACCAGGTGGTAAGACACTTACACACATACTCGCATTAACGCACACACATGCACCAGAACAGATAAAAATGCACACTTGATATGTGGGCGTAAACAATTAGCAGCGACGTCAGTGGCAATTAAAAAACGAGTGTAAGAGAAACAATAAAAGGGGGCTGCACCCAGGCAGAGCTAATTGAGTCGCACCAAAATAGAACTCACCTGCAAAGATTGGACGAGAGCTGACGCCATCCAGAAATGCATCCAGCTCCGTCAATTGCTCCATGCCTGCTTTTCAGACCACAAAACACTTGCGTACACAATTTTTAATACACTAAGTGGCTGCCATCTTTGTTTTCCCGGAGTGCATACAGTTCTGCCACGTCCGTAACGCGGCGACGGCGGCGGGCAACGGCACCAAAACTGGGCAGTAAATAAAACACAGTTAATTGCAATTATTGGCGTATTGCAAATAAATTTCGAGAATTTGTCTAAACGAAAAATGTACACGACGTGAGTGGTAAGAAGAAGAAGCAGATACAGTAGACAGCATGCACAGCTGTTTTTTGTTTAGCATGCAGCGTTGCCACCTAACGACGCGAACGACAACGGCGCTTCAAATTTGCAATGACGTCACAACGTGTGGCTAGTGTAAATAAACTATATGTTGATTGTATTTTCTGTGAGTAACATTTGCAAATATAGTGTGATTAATATTTATTTCATTTTTCAAATAACTTTTTCGGCTACCACTAGTGCTGCAGGAAATTCGTCTTAATTTTATTGTGCTTGGATGCCCTGGCAGCCCTGTCAAACAGCTGATTCTCACTTTTTGTTTTGCACGCTTCGCTGCGTTATCTATATTTATCGGCGAATCGGTGTTTATTTAATTTGAAAACCACAAAATCCCGTGTACTTATCAGCATTATTGACTATCAATGTTGTATTAATAGCCGTCAGCGCTGCACCAACAATGGCTGCGTTGCCTGTTGCCGTACATCCGCTAACCAGCGACCCAACCGCCGCCTGGAATGAGATCAGCAAAAGTCAGCGGGTCATCAAGGTTGTTATGAAGCCACCGACCACAACGGTGGCTCCCAACAAAGCGCGCGTAGTCTGCATGTCGGATACCCATTCACTGACGCCTTACATTAAATTCGATATACCCGATGGTGATATATTCATACATGCCGGCGACTTCACCAAGTGTGGACAACTGCAAGAGGTTGTGGAGTTCAACAATTGGATCGGAGCGTTGCCGCACAGACACAAAATCGTGATTGCGGGCAATCATGAGCTCAGCTTCGACCGCACCTTTACGCATCCCCTCCAGAACAAGGCGCATGCAGACCGGTACGAATGAGCCTGCCAAGATATAAAATTATTTTCTAATATAATTTCTTCCCTTTTCAGCTCCAAGCATACAGGCATGAGTATTTTAGATGATTTGCCCACGTTGGGCAATGATAAACAGAGCATGGAGAGCGCCGTAAAGACGCCGAATATACGAGAGGCCTTAACCAACTGCATCTATCTGGAAGATGAGCTACTTGAGCTCTGGGGCGTCCGCATTTATGGCTCGCCCTGGCAGCCAGAGTTTTGTCGTTGGGCTTTCAATGTGCCGCGAGGCGCTGCCTGTCTGGAGAAGTGGAATCAAATACCCGCTGGGGTTGATATTCTAGTCACTCACACGCCGCCTGTAGGCCATGGTGATCTCTGTTGTTCCGGCGTGCGAGCAGGCTGTGTGGAACTGCTGACCACAGTGCAGCAGCGGGTGAAGCCTAAATACCATGTATTTGGCCATGTGCACGAAGGATATGGCATAACGAGCGATGGCAGGATCATCTATGTGAATGCCTCCACGTGCGACATCAACTATTTGCCCAACAATGCGCCCATTGTGTTTGATGTGACGCTGCCACCCGGTGTGCGCAAGGATTAGGCTGCAGTTGCAGCAAGCCCCCGAACGATTTCTATTTATTCAATTTACGCTTAAGTTGTTATTTCAACGGAACAAGGAATTTATTTTACACTGCACCGCAAATTATTTTTAGTTTGACAAATAACAGAACCACAACACCCCTCAAATAATGTTCATTGAATTACCTCGTTGCTAAGCTAGCCTAGTCAAGTTTCGAACCAACGGCTGATCAGGAATGAAAGAAATGCCAAATTTAAGGTACCAATAAATTTGGCATTTCTTTCATTCCTGATCAGCCGTTGGTTCGAAACTTGACTAGGCTAGCGAAGCCTTTAAATGTCCTGCATCTGGCAGCACTGCCTTAGTCGAGTTTCATACCAATTGCTGATCGAGAATGCAACTCTTCAATGTCCTGTACATTGCAAATTGACTTAGTCAAGTTTCAAACCAATTGTTGATTTCGATTGCAAATCTGCAGGGAATTGTGAGCTTTTTTATAAGTTCTAAGCGCTCCATCCCTGAATCAATTAAAGGTCCTGCATATTGCAACTCTGACCTAGTGCAATTTTGAACCATTCCAGTGCGATCGCGAATGCAACCCTTCAGCATTCTTTGAGAGTTCGCTTTTGCGCCATTCGTTCTAACGGCATCCATCCAGCGCCATCGCTGCCGCCATTTTGTTCTGCAACGTGACCATCGAAAGAAATTCTATTTGAATTTCTTGCGAGCTGTTCACGAAAGTTTTGCTTTTAAATTGTATTTTTGCTTATATTAATTAGCTGTAACTTGGCATACGAAACTATGGTGAGCGAGCTAAATAAATGATTGGTCCTTCCACACCCAGAACACAAATTGATTTGAAAATTCTGTTAAAGCGCGAAGTAATTTCCATACAAATTGGGCAATGCGGCACGCAGATCGGCAACTCCTGCTGGGAGCTCTATTTGCTGGAGCATGGCATCAATCTGGATGGTAGTCGCAAAACGGATGCGCAGCAGGTGGAGAGTGGCCGTGGATCGAGCGTGGGCCAAGGCACCTCCGACAATGATGCACACACCTTCTTCATGGAAGCGGGCAATGGCAAGCAGGTGCCGCGTTGTATCTTTGTGGACCTGGAGCCATCGGTAATCGATAGCGTACGCACGGGCGCCACCCGGTATCTGTATCACCCGGAACAGCTAATCTCCGGCAAGGAGGATGCAGCCAATAACTTTGCCCGTGGACGCTATTCGATCGGCAAGGATGTACTCGATCGGGTGACAACGCGACTGCAGAAGATTGTGGAGCAATGCGATGGTCTTCAAGGCTTCCTCATCTTCAACTCGATGGGCGGCGGCACTGGTTCCGGATTTACCTCCTTGCTCATGGAGTCTCTGTCAAATGATTTCAGCAAGAAGTGCAAACTAAACTTTGGAGTCTATCCCTCGCCGAAGGTGTCCACAGCAGTGGTGGAGCCGTACAATGCGCTGCTAACGACCCACTCGACCATGGAGCATGCGGACTGCGTCTTTATGGTGGACAACGAGGCCATCTATGACATCTGTAAAAGCAAACTGGGCGTGGACAGGCCGGCGTACAACAATCTGAATCGCCTGATTGCCCAAATAGTTAGCTCGACGACTGCCTCGCTGCGTTTCAGTGGCTCCATGAATGTGGATCTCAATGAGTTCCAAACGAATCTCGTGCCCTTTCCTCGCATACACTTCCCGCTGGTCGCCTATGCACCGCTCATGTCCGCAGATCGGGCTGCCCACGAGCAGCATGCGATCACCACGCTAACGAATGCCTGCTTCGAGTCCTCCAACATGATGGTCAAGTGTGATCCTCGAGCTGGCAAGTTCATGGCCTGCTGCATGCTCTTCCGCGGCGACGTGGTGCCCAAGGATGTGAACGCTGCGATCTCGGCAATCAAATCGAAGCGGCATATCCAATTCGTTGACTGGTGTCCCACGGGCTTCAAGATCGGCATCAACTACGAGAAGCCGGCCTTTGTCCAGGATGGCGATCTGGCTCCCACCTCTCGCGCCTGCTGCATGCTCTCCAACACGACGGCCATTAGCGTGGCCTTTTCCAATCTGGCCTACAAGTACGATCTGATGTTCAAGAAGCGCGCCTTTGTCCATTGGTATGTGGGCGAGGGCATGGAGGAGGGCGAATTCAACGAGGCTCGGGAGGATATAGCGGTGCTCGAACGGGACTTCAACGAAGTGGGTCTGAACAACGATGAGGAGGACGACGAAGAGTACGCCGAGTTCTAAGCATCCTTTCTTTATCAGTAATATCAATTCCAACTAAACCTAATCTCAGCTGTCACAATAGATCTATTTATGAGTTCCATAACAATATATCCATAAAGATTCCGTTTTAAATTGTAAAAAAATAAAACCTAGATAAGTATTGTTATATAGTATATTATCTTGAGCTGGTTTCTCGGGCTTTGCCGTTCCCGACAATTTCTAATCAGCGCTACCCAAAATTCGAGTGTTGTATTTATATATTTCCATATACGTAAGTCTTAAATGTATATACTATACTATATATTCCATGTAGATCTATGGATCAATAAAGGAACTCTACCAAATGAAGCAACTAAAAAATAAATTGTTGGAATCCAAAAAATTATGTTGAGTAACTGAAATAATAAAGAGCAAAAGCTCTTATCACACAATGATAATATTTGAAAAGGCCAATCGTTGCCTCCATAAACAACAAAAACATTTTTCTAAATCTTTTATAGTCAGTAATATAAATAGAGGCAATAGTATGATACTGATTTACAGCCTGTTCCTCTATCTCTCCTTTCCTCTTACTCTCAGGCTAATGTTATATCAAAAGATTATAAAATCAATAAACATACTCTTTTCAGTTTCTTTTAAATTTTTTTTTTTATTTTTTGTTGTAATTTTTGTTGCTTTTTCTTTTGTTTGTTTTAAACGTCTAGTTGCTAAATTTTCTTTTCAATTGTATTTTTACTTATTTACTTAAATTTACTAAAAATTTTTAGTTTGTTTTAATTTTTCTTTTCGTTTTGAACTTGCAAAGCATTTTTTCTCATCAAAACTTATTTTAAGGAAACATCAAAAATTTTCTTGTTGCACAGTGTAAAATTACAATTTGTGTGTGTGTGAATGTGTATGTAAGTGTATGTGTGTGTGTTTTTTTTTAACTATATAATCTATACAACTAATTTTCTCTCTAAGAGCTGATAATCTTTTACAAAATGCGAATTGTTTAAAAAGAAAAACAAAATTGTTTAACAAATAGAAAAATGTTTGTTTGATTTGAAGGCAATTAAGTGTGCAATTGTTGTAATATACTTTATGCTACTTTATATAATTACATAATGATGCTTTCTTGTTGCTGTTTATATCATAGTTAATAGTTAATAAAAATATAATATTTATAACGATGAATGAATGGCAAAGAGATGCTTTCAAATAAATTTCTATTGATTATTTGCAATTGGTTTTCTTGTGGTTGTTGTTGTTGTTGCTGTTCTTCTTCTTGTTATGATTGTAATTGTTGAAGTTGTTGTTGTTGCTGTGGTATTTAACATTTAATATGGAACATTTGAGAAGAGATACGAGACACTCTCGCCATTGTGTGTTCGTCTAACAGCCTCGGCGAACATCATAGACACATCAATGCACTGCAAAAGAGAGAGAGCGAGAGAGAGAGAAGGAGAGAGTTGTAGTAAAAGTAAGAGATGGAAACTTATACCAACTCACCTGTATTTTGGGGCAATCACGCATATGCCCATCCTGTGGTATAGTATTGGTCACCACAACCGCCTCAAAGCAGGCATTGTTAATGCGCGAAATCGCCGGACCCGAAAATATGCCATGCGTCAATATGGCATAGACCTGGCCAAATGGAGCAATTATTAATAAACAAAAAGCACTAGCAAAAGCACCGTTAACCTACCTTAGTGGCACCCGCCTCCACCAGACGATCGGCCGCATGGACTATGGTGCCGCATGTATCGGCCATATCGTCCACCAATATGGCAATCTTATCCTTAACATCACCCACAAGCACCATCGAGGCGACCTCATTGGCCTTCTTGCGCTCCTTGTGTATCAACGCGAATTCCACATTCAAGCGATCCGCTATCGAGGTAACACTGTAAATGGTATATACACATGAATATATACATATAAAGAATGAGAATGAGAGCGAGAGTAATTCTTACCGCTTAGCGCCGCCGGCATCGGGCGATACAATGATCGAATTTTTCCATTCGGGAATGTTCTCTTTGATCCATTTGAGTACCGCCGGCTCGGCATAGAGATTATCAACTGGTATATCGAAGAAACCCTATACAAAAAAAACAAACAAGTATTCATATAGCAACAGGGCATAATTATGTCAACGCATTTGCTCCACAACATTAGTTTTTCTACTCTCAGCTAATTTGTATTTCCAAAAAAAAAAACTTTTATTTGCATTATCTGGCTATAAACTTCTAAACAAACAGGAGCAAAAACAAATTGAACGTTTCTCTTTTATTTTCGATAACCAACAACATATATATATATACACAAATAGGTATATATGCTAATATCAATGCGCATGCCATAAGCGAAACGGAACGGAACGGAAAGTATGTCGAATTTGCACACTTTGACGCCCGAGGAGCATAAGGAGCTGAGCGAATGGCTGGTCGGCAAGAAGATCGTCTTGAATCATCGCACCAGACGCGATCTATCCGATGTGGTCAATATGGCGCTCCTCTTTAAGAGTGTCGTTGGCAAGATGGTCAACATGAAGCACTACACCTCTCACGGCCAATTGGCAAAGAAGGTACTCAACTGGGAGACATTCAGTCTGAATGTGTTACGCAAAACGAATCTGATCCTGATGCGGCCCGCACTGGAGCTGCTCGCCTCGGGCAACATGAATGCCATATGCTCATTGCTCTTTCATCTGATGCGCATCGAGCGTAATGGAATACAGCTCGGCTCACGTCGAGCATCTCCATCAAGGGCCAAAAGTCAGCCAGAGCCATCGAGCGATGCTTCAACACAATCTCAGGAGACTCCTGTACATTCGAAACACGTGAAAACACACGCCCAGAACTCCACCCAAACGATGAACGATGCTCCGTTGCCGTTGCCGTTGCCGTTGCCGGCACCCGATGAGAATCTGAATGATATGTTACAGACTCCCACACAATCGAAGATGGATCTGCAGGCGGAGTCTGACCATGCGCAATTGGCGCACCAATTGAGAGTGACCACTGAAAAATACGAGGAGCAGCTGCGCATCAACGAGAAGAAGGAAATGTACATAGTGTCGCTGTCACAGAAGATACAATATCTCGAGAGGACCATAATCGAAAAGGAGAAGCGCATCAATCAGCTTCTCGATCAGCTGTCCAAACTCTCGGTGCGCATTATCTCCATGCAAACATCGATCGTCGATGAGCCGCCTCCAGACAAATCAAATATTTAGCCAGCAATTGAGAAACAATCTTTAGAAACACACACAGTCTGTGTGCATGTATTTATATATAAGGACTATTTTATTTTTCCAAGTTTTAGACGTGTTTTTTTATATATGTAAATTAATTTTGGCTTTTTGGCTTTTCCAGTGGCAAGAGAGCCACAAAAATAAAACGAAATTGTTGTATTTTGAACCCCCTTAACCGACTTTGATTTAATTGGATTTGAGAGACTCACCTGAATCTGTGAGGCGTGTAGATCCATGGTTATGATGTGATCCGCACCGGCCACTGATAGCATATTAGCGACCAGCTTCGCCGAGATGGGCGCACGGCTCTGAGCATGGGCCAGCGTAGAAAATATAGAAGAGAATCAGGTATATCATTAGCGTAGATAGTAAAAGCGCTTAAAAGTATATTAAGTTTATTCATATATATAGCTTATTATGAGAGTTAACCATGTGTACAAAAAACATATACATAAATATAGAGTTCAGATAGTCAAATATATATACACACAAAAAGAAGTGTAACAACGATCCAATGGGTACAGAAACAATAACTGAAACGAAGACTTTCGACAAACACAAAGGACAACAATGAGCGAGAGAGAGAGAGAGAGACAGAGAGGCAGACAGAGAGAGAGAGGTGTGTGTGGGTGCAGATCATCAATGACAGTGCGCACCAGGGACAATAAATTGTGCAACAAATTTAGTATGTATACTAAGAAATTTCCGAGAAAAAGAAAAAAACTAACATGCAAAACTCTATATAATATATATGCTAATATTAGTCAAACTTGCTCAATGCAAACACTGGAAAAAATAGAAATTATAAAAAAAAACTGCTTTAAAAAATATATAAAAATTTGTAGAAGCTCTGTTTTTGTGTTTATAGATTAAATATTAAAGATATATTTGTCGCTGGTAGCTAGTTAAAAGTAAAATGTAAAGCTTAGACCCGCTAGCAGAACTACTCACAGTATATTGTCTGGGTGAAAACTCCTAAGCACATTTATTTAACAGATATTTGTTTTTGTATTTGGTAATTTGTTTATTGGTTTGTTTTTGGCTCATAAAAGTTGTTTGATAAAAGAAAAAAACAAATGAAAGTAGAGAAAAAAGAAAAAGAAGAAACGAAAAGTTGTTTGAGTGAAATATTCTAGTCAAAGTTTTGTTTTTTTTTTTTATACAAATTTAAAGAAAGAAAAAATATAAGAAACTAAAAAAGAAATAACTGGAAACAAAACAAAATGCTGGGAAAGGTATATTTATACATTGTGTTGTTTGGGATTGTGCAAAAACTGGTTAACTATCAAAAACATCTCAATTTTATGATTTTAAAAGATATGGAAGAGGGTAGGTGAAACAAATAAACCTAAAGTTATAAATAATAATAATAAATGGATAGTTAAATTGCTGAGATTCGGGAGAAAGCTAATCAGAACTATATAACTGCAGAAATAATATATCTTTAGATATTAATAGAGTCTAAATCGTCCATAGATAGATAAGTGTATACATATATTGCTTGGGCACTAATTGAACCCAAAGTCAAGTATACTCTTGAAATGTCATGTATAAAGATAAGACAGACTAAATTTATAGAGTTTAATCGAAATTAAAGTCAAGTATTACCATATAAATTTCATCTAGATAGATAAGAGAAATAGAATTTATAGAGTTTAATTGAAATTAAAGTCAAGTATATTCAATTTGGCTCAGCTAAATAGATAAAAGAGAGTGAATTTAATCTGCATATAGCTAGAAATGCTCTATAGGTCCCAGCTATCATTATAATATATGTATGTGTGTATTACAATATGTATATGTCACATGACAACACTCAGACTATCGTTCGATGTCAAGAAACGCATTTTGAGTTCACATCAATGCACTTTTCCTATAGATTAAACATCTCGTCTTGCTGACGAAAATAAGTGGAAAAATTACGGAAAAATATATTGTATATTTAAATGCACAAGTGTTGTTAATCTGACCGGGTTCAAGTGTACAACAAACAGATACACATAGAGAGATAGAGCGCTGCACTACGAAGGACCCCCAATCTAGTTGACGTCAAATTAAATACATGACGTTGCTAATGGGTTATCAATCACTAATTTTAAACTATTTTCGTAAA